AAAAAAAAAAAAAAAAAAAAAGATAAATAAATTGAATCTACAATACAGAACAGGCACATAGAGAGCAGTATTATACAGTGCTACTGGAGAAGAGGACACATGGAATTTAATGTATACACCCTTTTCATTCACTAGTAGACCAATGTCATGTGTTGCTGTGCAGACGTCGTATCTACATCCATATGCATTTTTCTGAGGAGTGGTGACATGTACAGCATTTCACTGCCTGCTCTTCAGAGATTCCACCAACCTGCAACATAGAAAGAAAATGAAGATAGACTGCAACAAATAAACACAGTGACAAAATAATGTTCCCTCTATATTGGGTTTTCACTTAAGAGAACTTTGGGGTAACTTTTTTCGCCCCTTAGGGTCACAGGAGGACATATAGTAACTTCCTCGCATGACCCAAAACTCATTATATTAGAGCTGCAGCTAACGATTATTTTCAAAATCGATTAGTTAGCCGATTATTAAGTTCGATTAATCGGTTAATCGGATAAACAATAAAATAACTTTTTTAAAAAGGCTCCAGTGATGGGACTACTAGTTTGTAGTCCATCACAGGAGCAAGCTTGGAGCGGTGGAAGTAAAAAAGAAAAAAAAAGGTGTGGTGTGCAATATAGTGAAATGAAAAGTGAAAAATTATACAGCAATAAATGCAGAATGGCACCGGCTATAGAGGACTACAAATCCCAGCAATAGTACAATATACAGCGCAATGCAGAATATCACCAGCTATAGAGGAGCACAACAAATCCCAGCAATAGTACAATATACAGCGCAATGCAGAATATCACCAGCTATAGAGGAGCACAACAAATCCTTATAGCTGGTGGTATTCTGCATTGCGCTGTATAATGTACTATTGCTGGGTTTTGATTTCATCTATAGCTAGTGGTATTCGGCATTGCACCACTGTATAATGTATTATTGCTGGGATTTGTAGTGCTCCTCTATAGCTGGTGGAATTCCGCATGGCGCTGCATAATTTATTATTGCTGGGATTTGTAGTCCTCTATACAGCGCAGTGCAGAATACCACCAGCTATAGAGGAGTACAACAAATCCCAACAATAGTACATTATACACACAGTGTATAATGTATTGCTGGGATTTGTATTCCTATGTATAATATACAGCACAATGTACTATCAGCTATAGAGGAATACAAATCCCAGCAATACATTAGAGCACCATGTGTGAAAAAGTGCAGGCTTACCTGAGCAGTCTTCCAGCAACTTGCTTCTGAGATCGGACCTATCTGCAGCTGTCATCCCCCCACACCTGCTCCTCCTTACTACATCTCCCCATGTCCCTGTGCCGATCGTGGATGTGGGCGGTGAGTGTGAGGCGGGAAGGAGGTGCGGCGTGTAGAGCGTGGATGCGGGCGGGGCGGGTCTAGAAGCGGTGAGCGGGAGTTGGGGAGGAGGTGCGGCGCGCAGCGTGTGTGGAGCCGTGAACAGGGCCAACTGATCGGAAGCCGATTAATCGATTATTGAAAAAGTTGACAACTTTTTCAATAATCGATTATGTCGATTAGTTGTTGCAGCCCTACATTATATAGCAAGTTATTACCTGCTATATGCTCAGAGAGCCGAAGCTGGGACGGATCCCAACAATACTGTCAAGATCCACCCACAGGTGGCTGATTAGATAGGCAGAGCCTGCTGTCAGAGGCCTGCGAGTCATTGTAACAAGATCACTGCACACCAGCTCTGCCTTTCCTGGTCACAATACACTGTGGGGAAGGAGTTGCTATTATGAATACTAATGAATGGGGAGAGAGAGAAGTGTAATATACAGTCTGCTTACACAGCACAGAATCAACCATTTCAAATGAGCCATGAAGAGGAAAGCTAACAAAAAAGTAGGTTTCTGTGTTCATATACAGCAACTGCATATCCCTGCTACATGTATACACAGTGTATATTGCTGGCTTATGGGGTTTTCTTTTTTTAAATACTTCCACAAAAGGTGCAAATGGGCTTTAAACAGACACTCCACATGGCCACACCAAGGGTACCCATTGGCCTAACTGCTCTTCGCATCTTTGTTGCCATCTACAAACAGTCAGCAGTAGATCCACTAAACCCTAAAAAAAAAAAAAAAAACTTCACACAACTTATGAGTAGTCGGGTATGCCCCTTGATAAGCATAAAGGAAAAAAAAAAATCAGGACTTTCAGTTGACCTATAGTTAAAGTGTATATATTACCTGAATTTAAATGCACATCTTAGGGTGCCTGCAGGTCTATTTTCAATTTTAAGACCTGGGGTGCTCTGATCTGCACATACTTCCTAGGTGAAGTGCCTGGTTCCATTCTCTCTTGCCCACAAAGCCGGATTATTGGCTCATTACTGAGATGTGTGCCCTCACTTGCCAACAGTAAGCCTATGGAGGCAGAAGGGTACATGGATCCAGGCAGTATGTGCACACCAGAGCATTCAGGGTGCTTGAATTGAAAACAGACGATGTGCAGGTACCCGAGGTGCTGACACTGCTGGATTAGGCAACTATTTTACACTTCGAGTCCACTTTACATGTGTAAAAAAAACTTTAATTTTCTTTAATTACATGCTGCTGGCTCTTTTCTTGCTTAACAATTTACCCTTTTATGATCTTGAGTGCAAAAATGGCCTCACAGGAATATAACAGGCAAGATAAAATTTAGCCATATATGAAATATTAGAATTGACCATTGTTGTTCTGAAGGTACACAATCTTCTCGGTGAAATCTAATAGCTAACAGAGGTTATACTTTCCTGTTCATGGTACACCTACAACCTAAAAGCTGCAATGTGTTATGTGAAATAGGACATGCTAGTCCAAATACATGTTTGCAGCCATCAGTGCTCCCAAAATATTTTTTCGTTTGTGTGTACACAATACCTACCATTCCATAGCTTCATCGAGGCCTGTTCCCTTTGTAGCTGATGTCTTGAAAATCTGCCACTTCCGATCCTTTAAAGCTGGTAATCCCAGTGAGTTAGCTACTTCTGTGGGGGTCATTGCTTGTTCCATGTCTTGCTTGTTTGCAAACACCACCAAGATGGCTTTTTTCAACTCCTCCTCCTAAAATTAGAAGAGTACGTCGTACGCTTTAGAACACAGCAGGAAAAGGGTAATAAATCACCATTTGGCATTTTCTGCATCAGTTCATTTTCCAATGTCTGTTTTTAAATGGTTTGCTTATCCTTTAGTACTGTAATCTGTTGTCAGAAAACCCTTTAAAAAAAAAATTATGGCAGTTCCGGAGCCCCTTGACCCATGGAGTAGTAGGCCTGTAATGTCAAGTGTACAGATCTGAGGCAACTTGGTTCATAAGCAGTCAGGCTGCGTCTGTGCACCTGAATGCACATGTACCTGCTGTCTGTCAGGAGAAACAAAGCCGTGTCCTGCTACGTCAGCTGTCCAGTTAAGCAACATCTACATTCGGCTTCTTTTTGTGCATGCTGGCATTATTTAATACTTAAGTCTTTAACACACATGTACATAAGGATGTAGCTGTTTAAGTCTATTTCTTATTAAAGTTACTTAGTTTGCAAGATTGATACATCTGACAGGAGCATACATTACAGATAATCATTTTGGATTTCTTACAGTCTCTGTTCTGTGAGAAGTGTCTTAAGCTGGCCATACACCTGTCAATTTCTTTCATGTAACCCGCTGGCTAAACAAAAGAAATTGACGCGATTTCTCCAACACAAACAGCGTGTCGATCGAGGAATCGCCAATGTTTGCGCTGTACTGCCACCTGTCAGAATACCCAATCAGAGCGGGCAGATCATTGGCTGCCGGCTCTGATTGTACGAAGATTTTCCAGCCGGCTCCTTCAATCAGCTGAGGAATGCCGGCTGAAAGGTAGCCGACAGCCCTATACACTGGGCGAATTTCGACCGTTACATTAAAAACCGGCCAGAATTCAGCCAGTGTATGGGCACCTTTACGATCCAGACACCTCAGAAGGTCATTAGTGGTGGACATCACAAAGCATAAGCCATGTAACTTCCTCTCTTAATATATCAATGACCTAATTTTGTACAAACCTTAAAATTTTTTGTCACCAACCGAATTGGAGTAAGGTGAACTGGTGCACTACAGCAATGACTAAAAACTCTGACCGGAGTATGTATACATTTACATTTGTGAGCACACAATTTGCATGTGCTGCCCTTGAAAATGATTTGTGCTAAAATTACTAGCTTGACAATACTTCTATAGACATTAATAACAAAGCTTTGAGGAGGATCTGTTATGATTTTCTTTTTAACTTCAATTATGTAGCATCATTAACAGGGTTATTCACAAAAGGGTGAAGAGTTTGGAGAAGGCAGGAGAAGTGAACAATCTAGGACAACATAGCTGATTTAGAAAAATTCTGCAATTCAGCTCACTTACCAGTTCAGCTATGTTGTCCTAGATTGTTCACTTCTCCTGTCTTCTCCAAACTCTTCACCCTTTTGTGAATAACCCTGTAAGTGTCCTACATACGTTTCATATACAAGCTCTGTACATATCAATTTACCTCCCCTTTAAGGGCCGGTTCACACCACAAAGACTGCATTCCAGAACGTTCGGCCTCTGCAACGCATGCCGGCTCCTTGCATTTAGTGGCAGGAGGGAGCGTGGTGGTGCAGTGAAGTCAATGGCACCGCAGCAAAGCCCCCCACCCATAGTGCAATCGCCCGCACCCAAGGCACATTATTATTATACAGGATTTATATAGCGCCAACAATTTGTGCAACGCTTTACAATATAAGGAAGACATCACAATCACAATTCAAGACAAGATGGTAATAGTGCCTGCGTTCCAATCTAGTGCGATCTGCAAAAATAGTGCTTGCAGCATTTTTGCAGATCGCACTGGACCCATACAAGGCTCTAATATGCCACGTGTTCGGGTGCGGGCGATCGCACTGCAGATGGGGGCGTGGCTGTGGTGTCATTGACTTCAATGTGCCGCCACGTCCCCTTCTGCCCCTGAACGCAGGGAGCCGGCCGGTTTGTGTTCCAGAGGCCGAACGCTCTGGAACGCAGTCTTTGTGGTGTGAACCGGCCCTAAAAAGTCAAATTAAATTGAGTATTATTGAAGTGTTACCTCCAACATAGCAACCAGTTCAGACTTAGAGATACCAATCCTGTCTCTGTCACAGCTGTCTACCACATAAATGACAGCATCTGTATTGGAGTAGTAGCAACGCCAATAGGGCCTGAAACAGAACAAAACATATATTGTAGTTAAGCTTCTTCCCAACTAAACTGAACAGTACAACAACACAGAACATGTAATAAAAAAAAGTAACTATATATACAGTGTACTCAAAGTATTCAGACCCCCTTCACTTTTTCCAGTTTAGTTATGGTGCAGCCTGATACTACAGTTGTTTCATTATTCTGCACTCAGTACCGCATAATGACACTGTGAAAACAGAATTTTGTAAATGTATGAAAAAGGAAAACTGAAATATCACATTGGCATAAGTATTCACACCCTTTGTAACAACACTTGAAATTTAGCTCAGGTGCCTCCCATTTCTCCGAGATGTTTGTACACCTTGATCGGAGGCCACCTGTGGTAAATTAAATTGATTGGGCAAGATTTGGAAAGGCACACACCTCTCTATAGAAGGCCTCACAGCTGATAATGCATACTGTATCGGAGAAAAAGCCATGAGGTCAAAGGAACTGCCTGCAGAGCTCAGAGACAGGAGTATTGCAAGGCACAGATCTAGGGAAGACTACAAAAACATTCTGCTGCACTGAAGGTTCCCAAGAGCACAGTGACCTCCATAATTCTCAAATGGAAGAAGTTTGGCACAACCAGGACTCTTCCAACAGTTGGTTGCCCGGCCAAACTGAGCAATCGTGGGAGAAGGGTCTTAGTAAGAGAGCTGACCACAAACTCGATGGTCACTCTGACTGAGCTCCAGAGATCCTGTGTGGAGATGGGACAAAAGTTCCAGAAGGACAACTATCCCTGCAGCCCTCCACCGAACTGGCCTCTAAAAAGGTGGCCACTCACCTTACGATAATCGCACGAAATCCCACGATCGTAAGGTGTGTGGGAGCCATGCGACCTCTACTACTGTAAGGTCGCACGACTTTTATCTTAGGAACATGTTCGAAAACCCGCAGAGAATCGTACGATGTTCGGCGGGTGTGTAGCATGTTCGTAAGATAAAAGCCAGACGGGCCGGTGTGCGCAACCGCACACTGCCCGTTCGGCATTGCGGTCATCGGAAGCCCGCCCACAAAAGCGGGGCAGGCTTGCGATCGCAAGTACGATCTGCCTGTCCAAGATAGGCAGGTTGTAAGTTTTTTTTAATTACCTTACAACCACCGCAAGACAAAAGTCTTGCGATGGTTGTAAGGTGTGTGACCAGCCTAAGGCAGAGTGGCTAGACGGAGCTCACATGAAAGCCCGCTTGGAGTTTGCAAAAAAGCACCTAACCAAGATTGAACTGTTTGGCCACATTTCTAAATGTTTTGTCTGGAGGAAACCAGGCACCGCTCATCACCTGCCCAATACCATCCCAACAGTGAAGCATGGTGGTGGCAGCATAAGGCTGTGGGGGTGGGTTTTTTTAGCAGCAGGGACTGGGAGACAGGTCAGAGTTTAGGGAAAGCTGAATGGAGCAAAGTACAAATATATCCTCTATGAAAATCTGTTCCACAATGATCAGGACCTCAGACTGGGCCAAAGGTTCACCTTCCTACATGACACTGATCCCAAGCACACAGCCATGACAACACAGGAGTAGCTTAGGGACAACTCTGTGAATGTCCTAGAGTGGCCCAACCAGAGCCCGGACTTGAACCCTATTGATCATGTCTGGAGAGACATGTCTGGAGACGGTCCCCATACAACCTGACTGAGCTTAAGATGATTTGCAAAGAATAATGGCAGAAAATCTCCCAATTCAGGGCTTGTTCACACTGAAAGTGCTGCACTCCAGAGCGGGAGCTCTATTTTGTGCGTTTGCAGCGGAACAGAAAGCAGGCAAAGTTTTTCCACCCGTCCGATCGCACTGCCACGCTCCCTCCCACCTCACAAGTTTTGTGAGCAATCGCGGTGCCTTCCAGCAGCTACCGCTCTGGAACGCACCGCTTCCGGTGTGTACAAAGCTTGTCGCGTCATACACAAAAAGACTAGAGGCTGAGTAAAGGGTACATGTGATATTTCAGTTTTTAATTTTTAATAAATTCAGACATTTCTAAAATTCTGTTTTCACTTTGTCATTATGGGGTACTGAGTGTAGATTAACGAGGAACAAAAAAAAAAAATCTAAACAACTGTAGTATCCGGCTGCAACATAACAAAATTGAAAAAAGTGAAGGGGGGGTCTGAATACTTTCTGAATGCACTGTATTATATTAAATGAAGCTACTGGTAACAGAGCAAGCCAATTCAGTTTGATTTAAATAAAATAAAAAAAGAAGGACTTTGAATGGGTTTCTGTGCATAAAGGCAATCTCATGCCACATGATTCTGTATTGTGCAACCCCGATTTCATTCTCGCGCGTACACATAGCAAGAGGTTGAGGTGGGATGATGTCCCAACACATTGGACTGCAGTTTTGCTTTAGGATGCCAAGCAGGAAGTCGCTTTATACTACTGGAACAAATGCAGAAAAACAGTAATGCAGGCTAGAGGCTAGAAGACGCACAAGACACCTATTGTGTGTTAACGTGATATACTATTTATGCTGTGTGGGTGGATCTATTTGTACACTTTTGCACTTGCCGGCATGGTGACAAGAACATATACATGCAAGACATATATTCATGGCTATTCAGTGTGATTCTCCGAGTAGCAGATATCAATACTCTGATCAGTCACATGTGGTTTAATAAAATCGTTTTGTTATAATACATAGATCATCAAACTATTAAAAATGGACTTTTCATGGAAAAAAAGTTAAATATTGTTGAATAGGTCTGCTTATAAATGAAATTTGTTAACGGGCAAAGTTAGAAAATATTGTCATTGTGTTCCAGTGTGCTTATAACAGAAAAAAAAATATAACGTATTTGCCGGCGTATAAGACGGGTTTTGAGACCTTAAAACATCCCCCGAAAATCGGGGGTCGTCTTACACGCCGTGTACATACGGAAGGATACGGTATACTGTATGTAGCTTCAGCTACATACAGTATACTGCGCTGAGCCAATCACGGCAGGCTTTGTATTAATGAATACAAAGCCTGTATTCATTAATACAAAGCCTGCCATGATTGACTCAGCGGAAGACGGAGGACACAGCGGGGATCGTGGACAAGGTAAGAGACTGTATTCCCGAGTGTGGCTCGGGGTTACCGCTTATGGGACTGAAAATTAACCCCGAGCCACACTCGGGAATACCACCATGGATGTTAGTGGGTGCATTTAAACATTATTTTGGGCTATACTCGTCTTATACGACGAGTATAGCCCAAAACCTATTTTTCAACACAAAAAGTAGGGGGTCGTCTTATAACCCGGACAAATACGGTATATATAGAGGGAAATGGATGAGACAGAGTTCATTTCTATTAATGCAGAGGAAATCCAATATAGTGGTGGCAAAAACAGGGAGATGGGACATTCGCACACCCTCACTCATGCTGGGGGAAAACATGTGATTCTCTAGATCAGTGGTGGACAAATAAAGAATTCACTAGCCAATCTGTCCAATCCAGGAGCCAGTAACACCGACCACAACTAGAGAAGCCATGAAAAGGTAGGTATCAGCTGTAATTTTAAGGAGCAATGGCTACCTAACTCCAAGAAATTGCCCAACCCCGTTTTAAATGTACAAAAGATTTCTTCTCCCTTTTCACTGAGAGAATGATCATCCTTATTTATGAGAGATTTTCAAACAAATTAGATAGTCTGTAACATCAGAAGTCCTTATTTTCAGTATTTTCCACTTGGTGTTGTCTGGGGATCATTTATGACCCTCAATGGGACACTTATGTCTACTCTAAGGGGGAATGAGCTATGATCTATTTCTTTTAGAATAGATCATTATTAAAGAATACTAAAACTAAATAAAATAAACATGATTTGCAGCAAGTTATAATGAATACACCAAGTAACTGAGATCATGTAAACAATATTATGGAAAATGTCATTACCTTATACTTGTTTGTCCTCCTAAGTCCCACACTTGAAATTTTAGGTTCTTGTAAGTTACTGTCTCAACATTAAAACCGATTGCTGGAAAAAACAAAGTACAGATGATATAATTATTGGATACAAATAATAATGGAAGATATATTTAATATATATTTGTTCCTATCACTAAGCAACTATGCTTACTCAAGGTTGATGACTCTCTCCACAATGGCCCTTGAGAAGATTCCTCTGGCTTCAAAGTAGAGGCAAACTATTGTGAAAATAGGCCTACAACTTTAAGGCCTCATTCACACACAACGCAAGCAAAATTGTATATCGCGTATATACGAGCGTGTATGCGTATATGCAATCCCAGAATGCATCACTCGTAATGGAATTTTCAATGTACTGTACGCATGTATATGCGCGTAAATACGCAGAAATACGCTGCTCGGACGCATCTCTGTTCCATTCTGTTTTTTGCGCATATATACGCTACGCAAATATATACGGCTCTATATGCGGCTGTGTGCATGGAGCCATTTATTCGCATAGGTTGCATATGGTACAATGTGCACATACGCGCGGCAGTGTGAATGAGGCCTAAGGTAACAGGTCAGGTGCCGGTTTAGAAAAGAACAAAGCCATACACATATCTAGCTAACATAACAAATACAGCATAGCTGATACTTTACATATGTGCTAGGAAACCACTATCTATACAAATCTTAGAATTCTTCACTTATAATTCTATACAATTCCGTATATTTCCACCTAATAGCCTTTGAAACTGCTCTCCACATGATTGCATTGTTCAGCTATCTGCACACAGACAGGCTGACTTCTAGTCTTCATCCCAGCCACAGATTCAAACTGTACAAGAACACGGCACATGTAAACTAAATGTTAGAAAAGTAACAAAGGTCATAATTACTTGGAATAGTGGTGACAACTTCTCCCACTTGTAATCGGTAAAGTATTGTGGTCTTTCCAGCTCCATCAAGACCCAGAATCAAAATTCTCATTTCTCGCGTTCCAAATAAACTGGAAAAGATGCTGGAAAAGAAACCCCCTGATACGGAAAAGAAGGTTCAGTGTAAGTAATGCAAGACATGTACCTGTTATACATACAAATCACAAAATGGAAACCCTGTATTATGCAGCTTAATAGATTTAGCAATATTACATTTGTAGAGAAAGCTGGTAAAACAGTTCTGATTTTAATGTCAAAAGTTTATTAGTTTTTCCAAAAAAAATTATAAAACAATACACAAATCAGGAAAACAACATCCACAAGGGAGTATGTCACAGTTCTAGCCCAACGTTGTTGGCGTACATACCATGTCATATAATGATGCATAAAGGTGACAACAGCCTACCAAGAGAATAGGAGCTCCAAGCCAGATCATTAAAAGAGAGTGCAGCATCGGAATGGCAGAGTAATGGAGGAAATACAATTTTGTATCGATATAATCTATAGAGGGTTACACTGCTTTCCGAACCATTAGCTTTCCCCCTATTGGACTGTTCTAAGAGCACCTGAGTTTTTAATACAGGCAACCATTGGTATGATGTGCATTAAAAGCAAGTTTAGCATGGGCCAGGTAACATATAAGACATACAGGACAAAAGACTAACGTGAGGGGTAAGAGGAGAGACAGAGAGGAATAAAGTAGGGGAAAGCAGTTCTGAATTTAAAAGTCATACTGACACTAAGCTCTGGTCACACCGGAGCATTTTGTCACAAGCAGAAAAACGCCCGTCACTGAAGAAAGGACATGAGCTACATATTGGCAGATTAACAGAGCTTTTTGTCCCAGAGACTTCAATGGGAAACATGCGTTTCAAGCAAGTTTGTGTGGTTTGTCACATAAAGTTTCCCATTGAAGCCTATGGGACCAAAAAACACTGTAATATGCCAAAAAGTAACTCATGTATGTTTTCCAGCGACCGGTGGTTTTCTGCTTTCAACAAAACGCTCAGGTGTGAACAGGGACCATACAAATGTCTGGGACTCCTTGAGCTTTTTGTTGCGCTTAGCTTTGAGCGAGGAGACACCTAGATATGAACAAGGGACTCAGGCATAGTTCACACAAGCTTCAGCTTGTAAAAGAGCAAAGTGAAGTGTGATGAAAGCTCCCTTCAGTTCCAGTTTGGGAATGTTAAACACGGATCTTATTGGGAGTACTGACTGTTACTTTAAACAAGCTGCTAGCAGGCTTCAGCACTACTTAAAGCTTGTTGAAAGCCTGCTGAAGCCCGTTAGCAGCATGCTTAACCACTTGCTGTGCACCCTTTGTATATAAACGGACAGACAGCATGTTCTTGGATGCAGGTCACCATACATGTACTGCGGTTTTTGTTTCTGCTTACGCGAGCCCACAAGCAGGACAAGGTAAAAACCTTACACAGCCGCCTGATATCTGGCAGCGGTCCCGCACAGCATACAAGCTTTCTTGGCTCTGCTATCCCCCATGTGGGCCCGCAACCAGCACTGTGGGTCTCTGCACTGACATTATTATTATTATTATTATTATTATACAGGATTTATATAGCGCCAACAGTTTGTGCAGCGCTTTACAATATAAGGAAGTCATTACAATTTAAGACAAGATGGTAAGGAGGGCCCTGCCCGTGACAGCTTACAATCACATCGAAGGGTGATCGGCACACTTTCACTGGCTGATCTCCCCTCCGATCACTGAAAGTAGAAGTGATGTGTAATACATAATTTCCGGTTTCAGTGTTATTTCTCCACTGCTGTAGCTGGAGAAAAATGTGAAGCAGATCTGTGCTTCATCAGCTTCTGTGGGAGTCCAATCGACCCCTGATGTCTCCATAAAGAAGACCTCTCACGTCCTCTTTCCTACCACATAGGGGGCTTGTTAGCCACCCTGCGTGATAGCAATAAAGTTAAGCTAAAAAAAAAAACCAAAAAAAACACAAAATTGTTTCGTTTTTTTTTTAAATCGCCCGCACAGCTCATGTACACGCACATACAAATGCAAACAATCGTCGGGTGTGCCTATATGCTAAAACGACAATTACATCACACATTAAATATCCCTGAGAACATTGGAGTGAGAGCAATAATTGTAGGGCCATCAATCACTAATAACACTAAATTGATGAGCGGTAAAATCTTTGAGGCCGCGTTCACACCGGGGTGGTTCAGCCGCACGGATCTGCCGACATGAACGATCCCATACATTGCTATGGGGGCCGTTCATACAACCATGCGGGTCCGCACGATCCGAACCGCCCCCAACCCCAAACTGCTCCCTGCACTATTTTTGCCGCGCTGATCAGTGCAGTTTCCATGCAGGTTTCAATGGAACCGTGCTGATCAGCGTGGTTTTGGGCGTTTTTAATTGCGTTTCAGGGCTGTGACACAATGAATAACTCCCCAAACCTCCATTGCGAGATCAGCGCGGTAGCTGCACTGATCCGCAAGCACCCTGGTGTGAATGGGCTCTTAAAGCGTTGCCTATGGTCAATTTTAGGCATGGTAGTTTTTTGCAATTTCGCAGGCACGCGCAATTTTATGGCTTGACATGTTTGGGGTCTATTTTCCTGACCTGACCCCATCATTTATATTTTACCAAAATTCTGGCCATTAATGTTTCATAACAACCTAGGGAAAAGGTTTTTTTTTTTTTTTTCAAAATTTAGTGTACTTTTCTTGTTATATAGTAAACAAACAATTAAAACCCCAGTGGTGATTAAATATCACCAAAAGAAAGCTCCATCTGTCCCCCCAAAAAAATGGTACAAAATTAATTTCAGTACAGTGCTGTATGACGGAATAAATGTCAAAGTACCGCAGCGCTGAATACTGAAAAATGGCCTGGCCAGGAAGGGGGTGTAACACCGCGGTCAGCAAGTGGTTAAAGAGACACACGGCTCGAATGTAATGAGAACCCGGACAAAATTCAAGCAGTTTGAGGGGAGTTCCCTCACATTGGAAAGATAACCTCTCACAGAGAAATCTCCCCAAAGAGACACAAAACAGGCCTGGCAGCAATTTAACCCCTAACCTACTCAATCCAAAAAGGAAAAAAAAAAGTTTTAGCTATAAATTAACTTTAACCCTTTCCTATCCAAGCAAAAGTTTCATCTGCAGATACACCTTAACACACATTACATGGGCAGGCTCATATTCCAGCTACAAGAGGCCGGATAATCTCTTTGGCCGAGCCCATACCCTGAACTGAAGGTGTCCTTCCCTATACCCAATGAGACTGTAACAGATCATTCGTGAATACTAGATGGAAAACATATACAGAGCTTATACCAAGACACGAGTTATATACATATAGTAGAAAGCTGTAGCTCTATCCATATGACGGTCCAGAATAGGCACTCACCCATGGTGTACAGAGAAGCGGCCCTCTACTCCTCTAATCACGATAAAGTCTCTCAGTCCGTCCCGGAAGCTCAGCTCGGAGTTCCACGTCACACCGCGACGCACTGTACTTTCCTCAAAAAACATTCCACACAAGCACAAGGACGAGACACCCGACAAAAATATTAATACGACACAGAATGCTTCTATTGTGTGCTGGGGAACTTCAGTAGATCACAGAATCGACAAGCTCATGAGACTTATTTTTTTGTTTTAACGAATCTGCTGCTGTGTTTTTTGCGATGTGCGGAAATGCTGTCTGCGCATGCGCACTGAGTGGTGTGTGTGTGTGTGTGTGTGTCGGGCTGCTGTTGGACAGGTAGAGCTAGTTTTAGTGGCGCCTGGTGCTATGGTAACATGACACAACGACTATGAACGGCTGTCCGGTGTTATTAGTCTACTTTAAGTAAAATACTGGAGAAGAGTAGGGGAGGGGGTTACAAGTCTTTAGTCTGCGGTGGATACAATTCTGGAAATGTTATGGGGGTTTTTATACCTCCCATCTGTACCTCATTTGTAGGGACTGCAATTAGGGTTGCCACCTGTCCCGGATTCATCTGCACAGTCCGGGTTTTGAGTCCTATATGTGCTGTGTCAACACATATGTATGTGTTTCAGCACATACAGGACTCAAAACCTGTGCTGTCCAGGTGAATCCGAGACAGGTGGCAACCCTAGCTGCAATCCCTCTTTCCTCCTCAGTTGACCCTCTTTTTGGTCTGATGATATCTATTAAAAGTTTGTGTTTGACAACCAAAAGTGTTAGTTTGCTCTCTAACCTTTATGTTATCTCTCAATTATCTTGTTTTCCATTTGGAAAAGCTGGTATAAAGGAAAAGTCATGGTGAAAAACATCAGTTCTGGATTTATCCAATCATTTTTGTTAGGGATGCACCGATACCATTTTTTCCTGACCGAGTACAGTTACCGATGCTTTTCCTCAAGTACTCGCCGATACCAATTACTGATACTTTTTTTAGTGTTGTGACAGTTTTTCTAAAACAATACAGACTAATGATTTTAGGACAGTGGTGGAGCCCCAGGGCCTGGTCACAGCCGTGACCCTGGTAGTTCTTCCATTGACTCCAAGCTGTAGAGGAACTACAAATCTCAGCAATACATTATACAACAATGCAGAAAAATATGGAGCTACATACACCATAGGTATACTCAGAATTACACTCCAAAACACATTCTGCTACTCCTTCCAAGTATGGGGATACCACACATATGAGACCTTTTCACACCCTAGCCACATGGAGGGGCCTAGCATCCAAGGAGCACCATGAGGGTTTCAAGGGGCATAAATTAATCATCTGATTTCCTGTCTACCTGTTACATTTGTGGAGACCCTGGAGTGCCCGGACAATAGTACCTCCCACAAAATGACCCCATTTTGGAAAGCAGACACCCCAATGTATTTAATAAGTGGCATTGTGAGTGTTTTGAAGATTTCATTTTTTTGCCTCAAGTTTTTGAAAAATGGAATCTTCCGCAAGTCAGGTAAGCGGTCCATGACCGTATGCCTGACTTGTCAGTTGGCTGAGGGCCACATAGTACAGGCTTAGGGCCGGTGCTTTGAGACCCCAATTTCCACTTGCCTTCACTGTATTTCCACTTGCCAAATGCGGGCAGGCGAGTGGAAATTTTGAGCCCTGGCCTAATGTACTGTAGCTCCTTTGTCTTCTGTATTCTCCAAGAAAATCCTTTTCTTGGAGTCTATTGAGGCATACAAGTCCCGCCCCTCTATATTCATGATTATGCTCTCTCAGTACTGCTTTGCTACAAAACTGAGGCATGCTGGTAGTAGATGGGTACTCACCAGAATGCGGTGAGTAAACGAGTTTTTGGATTAGCGGCAGTCAGGTCCACGATCCTGTTCCAATTCTAACTCAGTTCTTCCCGCATTAAAGCTTGGCCAGGAGGGAGTTTATTCTCTGCAGTGCTGGAGATGTGTAGCATACACAGAGGCAGTTTCTCCTAGATGCGCTGTCAGCGAACCATCTCTCAGAGATCCCCGCAGTATTTAAAAATTAAGAAGAAAGAGCCCTCATAGTGTAGTAGGTAAAAGCATTCGGGTTTATTAAAACATAAAGTAACTCACATGTAAAATACAGCAGGTCAGGCCTGTAAAACAGCTCAAAAACCGCTATGTAGACTCCTCGTGTGCAAATGACTCTGCCTTTTTGACGCGTTTCGTCATGTGACTTTTTCAAAAAAAGGCAGATATCAAGTAATGGGGTGGATGCTGGTATATAAATGTTCTACTAATTGATTTTGATTAGAAAACCAATCAGCAAATGAGTCAGAAAGCTAGGCATCCATTAAAATTAGACAAGTGTAAAATCAAATACCGAAATTGAGTAAGTCTACATAGAAAAAGGGAAATAATATAATTGAGACATCAAGGGGATAACATTGATTAAACAGTCTATAGCATTTCATTAAACTTGCTAACTTTGGCTGCTGACCAAACTGAAAAAGATCAATATTTTCCACCTTGTATATTTTTTCTTCTGACTTCTAGACATTATTAATTGAACATTGTTTCCCATCTTTTGATACCTTTTTTGCAAGATCACAGCCAATAGACCAATTCAGATTGATATAAACTTTTGTTTGTTTCGTTCACCACTGTCTGGCTATCAGGATCTTCTGATATAGATCACTGATTGATCATTTAATGTAACAAGATCACCATTATTCTGCACTACGTGCTATCATCTTTATTTGTTACGATTATCCACATATGTGTTATTTTGCTTCCTTTGTGACACATTATAACTTTACATATCTATTGTCACTTAACACTTTAGTTGTTTATTTTTACTTCTCATTGTTACATAATAATTTATCTTGGGGCTTGTTTAACCTCTTATAGGCTGTGCAGCTTTTCTACACATGTTTATGTGAACACTTGATGATTTTTTATGTGAACACTTGATTTATTTATTTATTCAACGTAATCATTGATTACAGGAATACACTTCTCATCAACTTAATTAATTTAACCTTTAGCGCTGTGACACAACTTTCTCGTTCAATCTAAGATGATTTTCTCCTTCACCACTTAGCTGCTTAAGGTATTATATTTTATTATATTTTTTATATATTTTTTTAGTTTCAGTAGCGCAGATTAATTCTCCCTTTTCATGCTTGTAGTAGGTTATCCTAGACTCGTCTTCATTTCTATTGTTTTCCAGTGAATGAATTACAAATGAATGATGAGTGCCCCTTTAAATGTCCTGCGCTAGTCAGCTAAATTGTTTTTCATTTACAAAAAAAACAACGTAATGAGTGTTATGGGAATTGTACTTGCAAGTTAGGAAATGCTGACCCACAGATCTCAAGGGAATATTTCTCTGCTGCTCATTTTCCTATTTTAATAATGATTTCTGAAGTGTGAGAGATGCTTTGCACAGAGAGGAAGTATTACAGATATTCTTTGCTACGATACCTCATTGAGAAGAATCTACTTTTGCCATTCTGTGGTTTTCATGTGAACAGAAAACACTTTCTGTTAGCCCACATGACTTCCTATAAGATCTGTGTTTGAACTTGGGGGGGGGTTGTGTCAGTATCAAGAAGGAAAAGGCATAAAATAGCAACCATGCATCCTCATTTATCTTTAGCATAAATGCATTAGGTTATGTATAAGCTATGTCTGTTTTCCACCAGGTGGCAAACTTTCTTCACCAAAGCTCTGATTCAGGCCTACACTGTAGTAGCCATGTAGTGGCCATGTATTGCATTGACTATACAATGAAATACACTTGTTCTATAGAGTCTGGATAAATGACTGCATTTTAGGAATAAAAATGATCTGCATATATCTATAAATTCTTAAATGAGGTATCAAACTTTATATTTACTAAATTTACTAAACATTTACTATACTAAAATGGTAAGGTATACATGCATTCTGATTTAGATTTATGCACTAAAATGGTAAGGTATACATGCATTCTGATTTAGATGTATATACTAAAATGGTAAGGTATACATGCATTCTGATTTAGATTTATGCACTAAAATGGTAAGGTATACATGCATTCTGATTCAGATTTACAACACATTATCATACAGTAACAGATGACGTGCATTTTGGTTTCTTTTGACCTACCTAATTCAAACCTCTTAATGGTGTTGTAAGCAGGAGTGCTTAGTAGATTTAGTATTGTCAGACTGTATTCAGTCTGATGCTGATTTTATAGTGTATGCTCATTTGGTTTCACTTAATCAATCTGTTATCGTTTGCATCTGCCTGCTGCTAGGTGTATCTTTGCAGCAGAGCAGCCAATAGGAGATTGTTATGAGTATCTATATCTCCCTGGTCAATCCCTAGGTGGTTCATAGCCAGTGGTGCATGCTGGGCGAAGGAATATATATTCAGGGCAGATCATATGAGCTCTCTCTTCCTCTCCCGGGCCCTGTCTGGGGGGAGTCTGCTATGGACTGTCTGATTTGGCTAGGTCTGAAGCCTGGGGACTAGCCATGTGCTCACAATGAGGCCTGAGTCTGGTGGCCCAGTGGCTACTATTGCTACCAAGGATGAAGAGGACTAATGACTTCTGACTCAAGTACTGCTCAGCCAGGTGCTTTAAACACAGATTGCCCTATCTGGCTTAAAGGTCCTAGTCTGTGAAGCAGTTACCGTGTTCTCCTAATTAAAGGAGTCTTCACCATCCTGGATGATCTTGACCCTAAGCCTCTCTCCCAGAAGTTCTTCAATAAGATTCCTCAGCATCATATCCACAGTCTGGACCTCGCTTGTGTCGGTCCCTACTAGGGTTGCTGTCACGTTCCTCAATTGAGTGAAGGGTTTGGATCACAGCTGCGGAGCTCTTTAACAACGGCCTATGGGATTGGATCAGACAGACGGTTCCCTAATACACCAAGTGCGATAGGGAACTGTTCCACATCATGTATCCCGGCCGAGTGGTTGCTTAACCCACGACTAATATAGTAATTGTAGATTGATGTGTCTCAGCTGAGGGGGAGTGATGGGACTGTAGTCCCCTGAGACATGCAGTGCAGTGATTAGCACTTTTAG